GAAAGTAGAGAGTCTAGAGGATGAGAGAAAGATTCCATACCAGACACATTGTCCTCCCGTCAAACGCCCAATCCTCCAAATATTGATTTCTCTCCTGTGACGTGTGCTTCTCCCTACGTTTTGCTGCATGCATTTCTGCCATCTATTGAACCGGGTTTATTTTATTTGTGCATTCCCCTTCTGCCCCGTTCTTTTCTTTTAAGCATGTTACAAGACACGAGGGGGAAATCAAGCCAGATTCCATGGCAGCGATTATAGTTTTTGGTTTGGGGTAGTACCATTAACCTAACACAAAGCAAAGTAAGGTGGAGGATCGTGATAATCCTCCGTTACAACCATGTGCAGTAGTTCAGTCTGTGACAGCCATGCTTCCTTCTCGATTTATCTACCTACAGAGGCTCGGTGCTCCTTTCACGGCAAAAGAAAACCAAAGAGCATCTGGCACTATATGAGCATGGTGCATTCATATATATATGTTTGACCCGGGAGGAATGCAAGGTGGAACGGGCTTAGTCTTTGCTGTTCAATCAAGTAAATAGCTTGTAACTTGTGGAATGAAGTTATTTCCATCATGCAGTCCATTCTAGCCTTTTAGTACCTGGAATTAGCCATACTGAATGGAACAAAAATCATCATGATCTGTGCTTTGCATTTCTCTACCTTGAAAAGGTGGATTGTTGTCATTGTAGTGGGAAGTGAATAACATGTGAAAAATATCTTATTAGTTTGTAGGATTCAACTTCGGTAATGTAGTTTTCAATCAAAAACTCAACCATATGACTACTCGTGAAGATCTTGACCCTGGTTTTAGGATTAGTCGTCAATGAATTCGTAAATATCATGGTTTCTTCTTCATGAACAATTTTCCTATTTTTGTAGTGTTATTAGATTCCTGTGTCGGATCTATACCATGCATCTAACAAAACTAACTTTTAACAATGCCTGATAATGGCCAGAACTTACAGTTCAGAAATCTAGCTTGCTGCAGTTTATTTCCTAACATGTCTTAAGCATACTATTCACTTTAACCTGCTGATACAGATGTTTGGGCGTGAGGCCGCCAAGGAGTTGGATTACGTGGAATGCTTTCCCGAAGGATATCGTACAGGAACTAAAATGATCAAGGCATGCATAGACGCCAAACTTGACGGTTTCCCTACGTGGATTATCAATGGCCAGGTAAAAAGACCATAAACTGTGATTAGAGCTATGCGTCTCTATTTATTCTACCCCAATTTAAGTGCATATGACTTGCCATTCCTCCTCCAGGTTCTAAGTGGTGAGCAAGAATTATCGGAGCTGGCTCAAGTGTCTGGTTATAAAGAATCTGTTCAACCTAGTTAAGGCTGGACTAAAAGTAACAAAGGTAGCATTGTAGAATTCTTAGTTGCACATTGTACAGCTTATAGATGAATAGTTTGTCCTTTTGTAGGCATATCTCTCGTTACAAATTCCATCTCATTGCACTATAATACTGGCACGTTATAAATTATAAATTATCAGATGTTTTTAATTGCTATATGTCCATTATGATATCAATATGATTTTTGAAGTTGTGAAAAATTGTAAAAGGTGATAGTAAAAATTGTGTTGAAATTTAGATGGTTGAAATTAGAACATTTTTTATTTATTTTTGGTTTCTAAGTTATGTAAGAATACAATAGTTAGCATTTACAATTTTTGGTCAAATCTTTTAGTGTGGGTAGGTAGTTGTTTGTTGACATTTATTTTTAATTGATCAAATTTCTATGAAATTTTATTAATCAATGAAGGTGAGAATCAGAAGCAAATGATCTAGAGTTCGGATAATACCAACTTATTCAATTAAGTCATGCTAGTGCTAGGAGGAAGCTAAATTTTCCTCTTGAATTCATAAGGCAAAAATTATTAGAATAGCAACTCATTCAATTAAGTCATGCTAGTGCTATGTTTCAATAATGATGTCAAAAATTATGTAGTTTAAATCATTAAAACTTCAGCAATAAATATACTAATAATGAGAAATATTAAAAGAATTAAAGTGGGTAAAAAGACTGCAAACCAAAGACACACACTGCGCTTTCCACCGTGCCAGATAAAAACTCTCATTCTTTTTGTTTATCATATTTTTTCATTCTTAAACAATATTTCAATTTAAGCTTTGAAAATGAAAAATAACACTCTGATAACCTAATCTTAAAAAAATATTTGTATCTAATGAAAAAGGTTGTTTGGTTATAAAATCTTCCATTTCTCTCCTCCTAGAATTTAGAGTTTCTAAATTTGACTCACATTCATACTGGTTGAGGACAACATAAAACATAAAAATATTACATTACTTATAATGCCATAGTTATTACTTCTTTATATCAGATATTGAACAAGTCCTCTTCGGTTTTGAAGATAAGGATATATAAATAAACAATATTTTATTTTTCAAGTAGAAGAAATTATGAATCATTATCTTGAAAAAGATAATCAGCGTAATTTATCTTCACAAGAATAACTATTATTTAAATAAGATAAGAGATGAATATTATATATATTTGTGTGTGTCTGTGTTTTAAAGAGATAAATTTCTTGTAAACTCAAAGATACTGACAGCAAATTAATTTGAATAGAGAAATAGATAAATAAATCAGGAAGGGGTGAAATATCATAAATACTTTATTTTAAATTGAGGAATAATTTTACAATTATATGAAAAATATATATTAATTGAATTTAACTATAATATAAGTATAATTCAATATTTAAATGTGAAAAAATTATAACAAAACAAAATATTTTAAAATAAAGCATTTGTGATAATTTGTGATAACAAAACAAAATATTCAATATTTTAAGTCAGCTTTCTCTTTGTGATAATTTGTAATTAACAAAATAAGGTAAACAGAAAGGTTTAGTATACCCAAATAATATAAATTAAACATACATAAATAACCCATGCACCTTATTCAATCTATTTAGTTACATTGATTTTATTTCCTCTTAAACCAATCAATTCTAAAATTTTAGATATCCAAAATGAGATTAGAATAGTTATTACTTTTAAAATAACTCGTAATTTATAAATATAAATTATACCTTGTCTTATAATATAACTGTTTTTAAGAAAAATGTTTTGAGCTTAGAAGGTAGTATATTTCTCTCACTTAATATTTATATATTTGATTGTGACGCATTGCCGATACTTATAATCTAATTGTTCAGTACCAAATCACTAAATAAATTTTGCAAAAAATATACTTATTTAACAAACTTTTAAACATAAAGACAATTATCTTTATTTTTTATTTTTAAAAAAGAAAAGATATTTTGGAAGAAAGTATAATAAAGATTAAGAAAAATAAAATAATCAATTAAAATAATGTTCTCTTAATTGTTCAAATAGTTCGATCTAAGAATTGAGACTAAGATACTTTTTCATCTCTTTTAAAAACAAAACTGTATAGAAATTTTAAAATCCGAAATAAAATATCTTAAACATATTAATTCATCATAACGATATTATTATGAAATCGAAACATCAACGGTTTATTTCTTAGATATAATTGAGTTGTATGTGAATAAAAAAATATAAAGATGAAAAAAAGAAAAAAAACACACATCACATATTAGTTGAATCAAGATTTGAGAACTAAACATTATTTATTTAAAAAATTACATTTTAATTAGAAAAATGTCAAAAACTGAATATTAAATATAGTACTATTAAAAGGATAAGATAGTTTAACGTACCTTCGAAACTACCCTCCTTACACGCCCCCAATGTTCAATAATTGCAATCACAAAAACCACTACGCAATCGACCACAGTTTCATTAACAGAGTAATTGTTCCACGAAACCCACCTTTAATTAATTATAACGTTACTAATTAAAACATTTTAATGGACTTTAATAATGACTATTATATTTTACTAAATGAATTTTACCACATAATCTATCCTCAATAGATTTAAAAGCTATAATAATGATTCTTCATGTTATTTTTTGATTAAATGATTCACTATTTATTCTAAATTAAAATTATTTTAATATTTGAAAAGTATATAATTCTTTTACATAAAAAAACTGCATATTCCCCATTAAAAAATAACTGATTCCTCAATTTAGTTTTACAAAATTATTTATATTTTACTTTCCAAAATTTATTTTCTTTCATATAAAATACAATCATACAAGAACAGAAACTATGTATTTTTTATTTAATATATATTTTTTATACAATTTTCTCTTTACTTTTACAATAGTTTGATAAGTGTTTTATATTTTATATGTAAACTGTTGTGAATACTATGACAACTGATTTAATATCAATTTTTTTTACGCCTCGTGTCACTGATAAAAAAATCCATTTGAAAAATTTCCAATAATTTTCTATACAATGAAGAAATGGTAAACGATAAATTTATCTAAATTATTCGAAATAAAATATTTTACCAGATTTAATATATTTGTCAAAGTAAACACGTTCAACACTTTCCCATTTTCGTCTCGTTGTACGAATAATAAGTGAATTAAGCAACGATAATTATGGAGGAAGCCTGGTTTCTCCACGAATCATGATGAAGGAACCTACGGCTGAGATTGCGTGTGGATAGTGTGGGCCCATGGTACTCTGAAAAAGGAAGATACCTTCGAATATTCCTAGGCCGCGAAACTGCAGCAAGCTTGTGTTGCTTTCAATTTTTATTTTGAATTTTATTTATAATTAATAATATTCCAATCCCTTATTTTCTCTTTCTAACACTCCTTATTTGTGTTTCTTTTATCCATAATCAAATAATTAAGTTCTGTTTGTCCCTTATCTTGCATCCCTTATAATGCCTTCCATAATTCTCTTCTACACCATCACAATCAATTTCTCTTATCCATTTTCTAATTTTTCTTCTTCCACTCCGATTTTCTCTCTTTCTCTATAAACCAAACATGTGCGCGCCCATATCCGAACTCGAACAGGAAGAGCTGCTCGAAAAACTAGAGGTTTTCAAGATCAAAGGCCGTGACAAGCATGGCCGCAAGATCCTTCGCATTATCGGAAAATTCTTCCCAGGTCAATTCAATTCCTAATTTTTCTCGCACTTTTTATTTTATGGATTTTAACTGTAACTGACGGGATCGTGATTCGTTTCGACGATTCACCAATTTTGTCTCAGCGCGGTTGATCACTGTTGAGGTGCTGAAGAGGTACCTGGAAGAGAGGGTTTTCCCGAAGCTGGGGAAGAGAAAATTCGCAGTGCTCTACGTGCACACCGACGTCCAGAGAAGCGAGAATTTGCCCGGAATATCCGCTCTCCGGTCGATCTACGACGCGATCCCGGCCAACGTGAAGGAGAATCTCGAAGCTTTTTATTTTATTCATCCGGGCTTACAGGCCCGCCTTTTCCTTGCTACCTTGGGCCGCTTCCTCTTCAACGCTGGGTATGCCAATTGTCATCCTCCTTGTTATTAATTTTACTTTTGTTTATATATAGATCCATTTTCATCGTTCAATAATACTTCACACATGCATCATGCATCCCTCACTATTTTTAATTTATCACCTATTTTCGTCAATTTTTCTTCATCAAAAATCCTGGCACCATGCAATTCAAGTTTTTTTTTTGTTACAGAAAAAGAATCAAAATGATCCGTTGATTTTTTATCAGATTATGATGGAAACGTGTTTTATTATTATCTCGAGAACATTTTTTTTTTTCAGAAATAAGATGTAAATCTGAAAAGAAATTGTCAGTCTCATCCTTTTTCAATTTTATTTTTTTCACTTGCTGCTTGTCGAATCTTGGAAAGATTTCTTCAATTATTGATTCTATCTTTATCTGTGCATTATATTTTATTTTTTTCGATAAGTTAAATTTAACATTTAAAAAGAATTTTTACATTGAAGTTTAAAGTTTTAAAAAAATAATATAAAATTAAGTGTTTGATTATGCAATGCGAAACAGTAACTACAAAGATGAGTTTCAATAAATTGTAGTGTCTGTTAGTAATTGATTATTGAATGTGAATGGGAATGTGAGGTTCCATCATGTGAAAACTGATGTTGCGGAGTTTGATTGCGTGTGATAGGCTGTATGGAAAGTTGAAGTACATAAGCAGGGTTGATTTTCTGTGGGAGCACGTGAAGAGGAACGAGGTGGAGATTCCGGAGTTTGTATTTGATCATGACGAGGATTTGGAGTACCGTCCGATGATGGATTACGGGTTAGAGAGTGATCACGCCAGAGTGTACGGTGGTGCTCCCACTATGGATTCACCAGTGACCACCTATTCCATGAGGTGCATCTCATAGGATTCCACCTCCAGAAGATTGAAGAATCCGTGATGCCTTGTTTTGTGCGTTAGGTATAGACTGGGCCTTGCAGTTAGTTAAATAGGCCCATAGTTATGTGGATGTTGATAATGTGTAGAAAAAAGAAAAGAAAAGAAAGAAAGGAAAGAATAGTCGCTTTTAGGTTTTGCTAATGTGGTAATACTTATCCAATAGCATTTTCAGTTTTGCTTGGATGATTGAGATCAATGATATTAAAAAGAATTCCACCGACTCATTTTGATTTTTCTCTTTCACATTCTTCCATTATTTTTTTG